AAAAAAAAAAAAAAAAGAAAAAGAGAAGAAAGAATAAAAACGAAAGAGCAGCGTCGTGCTACATGCACAAAAAGTAACCGAACTGCATCGTGCGCGATTTGTTTTTCTTACTAACAATTAATAAAAACTCCATTTTGATCATGATGTTAATACAAGGCAACGATATCACCTAAATAATTCGCTAGTCCCGATACGATTCGCGTGTATGTCCCACTCGCGCGTTCTGAATTTTCCTTTTTTCCGTCCATGTGGCGTCGTCTGATCGTGTACGGGAACAACGACGATAACGATCAGGTTAACAACGACAGTGACAACGACAATGATGAACATATGACAATAACGACGAATATCATGCCAAGAATGATGATGAGGATGATAAAGACGATGACGAAGACGAAGACGAAGACGTAGACGAAGACGTAGACGAAGACGATGACGACGACGACGACGACGACGACGACGATGAGAAGGACGACGAAAAGGACGACGACGACAACGTACGTGACCACGATGATCGTACTCGTCTTGACTTATCTTTACATGGATACAAACACCATGGATCGTATAAGCGGCTTATGGGCTGTGCTTGGTGGCATACGACGGGGTAGCGGGCGTTCCCCTGTACGTCGTGGTGGCAACGATTTAATAGCGCAGTGGTGTTCACAGTCGTAATCATGGTAGTAGTGGTAGTTTCAGAGCTAGCACTCGGTAGTTACCTCCTGTCACGATACAGGAGATAAGTCTTCACTGCTAACGGCAGGCTCAGCGCGTTCACTTTCTCTTCTATCTTGTCCTTGCCGATTCGTTTTCGAATCACTCTTCGACAGAGATCCATCAGGGGTAATGGTTCAGCTGAAACAATTACGATTTTCATGATTTACCTGGCTAATCTTAGGTTAGGTTATTATTAAAGCCTACGTGTAACATGTATCAGCCAATTAAAAATCCATGTTCTTAATGTGTATGTAATCATGCATTTGTTATTCGTATAATTTGGTACACGGATTCATTCGACATGTTCAATTATTATTACCTTATTATCATAGCAAATAATACGACGAAATTTATTTGTTTTGTGCGTTCTTGAAATTAAGAGATTTTTACTTTTGTACTCAATTAATTTAATTAATTAATCATGCAAATTAAAATACTTTAATCGCGGGTACATTATGATAATTATAACCAGAATTTTATCATATACAAAGAGAAAGATGATTAGAATTGAAATAAGATTAGTTGATTAGAATTAAAATAAGAATTCTTATAAATAATTCATTTAATATTTTAATAATCGTGGTGAAACACGCTGCTATACAAAATATAAAAGTAAGTACGAAATTAAGTAAGTATAACTGATAAAATAAATGTAATAAGTATGCAAAATAAGATTTTCAAAATGTGTAACTTACACGGATATAGTGACTATAGAGCGTGTACAATTACACGTGTATCAGTGTATTTGAATATCTTTGAAGCTAATTGCTAATCTAATTATCATCTGATCATCATTTAATAATTCTATGACTACTTACGATCAAGTCCACCGATATACTTCATCGTGATCTCACAGTGTCCCCATACAGCGGACACGATAGGATGAAGCTTCTTCCCCTTCAGGCCTTTGAACGCGACTCCAAGATATTGACCATCCACGACGAATGCTAACGTACCTTCGTCCATGTCCAAGACCACTGAAAAGATGAAAAGAAACGTTCGTTAGATTACTGAAATCAACTATTACCCAGTGAAATTAGAGGGACTTTTCACTCACCGAGGAATTTGTCAGGAACAATGAACGTTTCGTCGGGCTTGAGGAGAGCTGGGTACGTGATACCGGTATTGTTCTTCGAATCGTGGAGAAGCTTGTTCCTACCGAGATCCCAACCCCAGCTTTGTTCGTTGTTACCCACCAGGCTCTGGTATCCGACACTGTGAAGGGGTGCCTCTGCGGTCGCGACGCCCACTACGGCGTGCGTGCCTCTTTGCCTCGTGCTCCAGAACAGCTCCCAGACATGCATACCTTTCGTGTACCCTACTCTCCCTCTTATGCAGTCTGTGCTTTGGGCCACCGGGTGCCGGTGAAACGTTAACTTGTCGTCATCCTGCAATAGAAATAATTTATCAGCTAATGAGTCGTATGTCGGTCAATAATATAAAATTGGGTTTGCAGAGGTATGAGAATTAAAATAGGAAAGATTGAATTAGCATTAGCCGAGTAATTATGACGCTTTACTTGTAGTTAATAAACTTACATATCTTGGTATATTAACAACGAATCTTTATTATTTCATGTGTCATGTGTTAAAATTTCGCGCGAAATCGAGAATTTATACAGTTTAGTAATTGTTAAAAATTTTAGTATATAAAGGATTAATATATTGATTACCGGTGTGTGCCTATTTTTATGAATACATTGGAATAATTAAAGAAAAAAGAGAAAGATTCTAAGTAACACAGGTAACTAGATAACACTGAAGAATGAGTTTTCGTCACGCTTTTACTGTAACATAATATTTTATAATTTTGAAATATTCCGTCAAAACGTGTAAATTTCGTGTCAACGTCTGGAATTTCAGGAATATTCGTACGAAGCGAGAATAATGAGGTTATTACAAACAGCAATACATGGAATTAAAATTAACAAAAACTAAAAACCGAAGGAATTTTAATTTTAAAAAATCAACCCTTCGCGGACGCAGTACTTTTTGACTCTGAATGATATATTACATTTATTAGCTTACGTAAAATTATAATCAAGTCATTTCATTACTAAAAATTACGCTAATTGATCCTGAAACTTTATTAATAATAATATATTAGACCATATTCGAATTTAACCTCTACGTTTTTCCAGAATAATTTTTCAACGCGTAGTGACGTTCAACTTGAGAGAGAAAATTATGACATGTCGTAGCAATGGAATTCATCCGCAAAAAGGTTGAAAAGAATGAAAGATCGCCTGAAATATTCCGAGCTCAACGAGTGCATTCCTAAGATACCTTGACGAATATGTTGAGGCTACGGTCGTTGGCGTTCCAGCTATGATGAATCTGCGTCTCCCGCGAAGCGGGTGGCATATCGAGCAGGACATCGAGCCGTGGCGGCCTCGCGAAGTGTTGCGCCAGCTCTCTTGGTACCACGGGTTTATACGCGACGACACCACCACTTCCGACGCCAACTCCACCAACAGCTCCAGGTGCAGCCTCACGTGTCACGCTTTTTACGCCGCCTAAAAGAGAAAGCAAAAGAGAAAATTAAAAAAAAAAAAAAATCCCTCTGTCAATCATTTCTATAACATATTAGTTTTAATATAATTTTAATCCCACGGATAATATTAATAATAATGCCATTTCGTTTGAAATCCAATTACAATAACATCTTTTATGGATCGAATATATATTAATATTAACCATTTACAACGACGACGAGGTCAAATTTCACTGTAACAATATTCTACGCACTCGGAAGCAAATTTCATACATTGAATATTTTCGTTTCTTATTGCTGTGCAAATGCACATTCGTATGATAGATTTGTGTGACAACTATCCCTTAGGGAGGATAATTTTACTGCTATACTTTAAAATACCTTTCTAACTAAAACTCGATTAACTTCGATAGCCTGATGACACCATAACAATGACAGGTTATTCTTCTGTGATAACTACGGTAGAAATAACGTAACTATTAACGTCGATAGCAACGATTTATTATAATTACGAGTGATAAGAACGATTTACTGTTACGATTCCACTATTAACGACGTTTCTCTGCTGCCTGTTTTGTACAAATTCGTTAGCTGATACTAAACGATCGGTCGATCGTTTCTCGAGGACAATGATCAAAACAGGTTCGCGAGTCAACGGTCGAGATTCACAACAAACGAACAAGAGACAATAACCTAAGACCGTTAGAGCACGGTCTCCTTGACAGCATGGAAAATCGTTTTTAAAAGCGAGCCATACGCATTTAAAAATAGATCAATAAATTTCGTTTCACTGGCCATAAATCCTTATTGCTCGATTACATTAATTACATTAGCGAATTGAATTCCTATGAGAACTGAAATTTTGTACGATTTGTAGATGTTATTGTTGTATTCTCATTAACTATCGAAACAAAATGAATATTTATTTTGTCAAACAACTGCGTATTATTCCAAGCAAGGTTTAAAAAAAATAAATATTACTTTTTATATATTTATATATCCAATGTTTAATATTTTTATGCAATTCCCCGAATTCTATCAGATATAAAATCTGTCGAAAATTGCTTGAACGAGTTTTCTCGACTCAAATCGTTTCCAAGTTGTTTCCAAATGGCTCCAGAAGTGTGTTTCACGACACATATATCTTTGAATTACAACAGAAATTCGAACATTCTCTTCTCCACTTAATTATGTTGTATCCCTACGAAATATAACTCAGCAGAATGCTCTGATCCTTCTCAATTCTCTTTCTTCTCTGACAATAACAAATCGACACTCGAATATCATCGTCACGTCGTCATCGCGACTTTGAGATCCCAAGGATCAAAATATCGCACGGTCATCGATCACGCGCGTGAAAAGGGGATCGTCATCGAGAATCCACGCGGGATAAATTTCCACGAGGTCGTTAATAATTCAGGACGCGTCCGTGGGATTCTGGCGGTGCGGTATCCCGGAGATACCTGGGTTGCGCCAGCCAGCCAGCCAGCCAGCACCAGGGTAGATTTGCCGAAGAACGGAGGGGCCAAAGAGAGAGAGAGAGAGAGAGAGACAGAGAGAGAGAAAAAGTGGAAGAAAAATAATGAAGGGTCCCCGGGTCCGGCGGGCGCAGCAGGCTTCGCTCAAGGTTTTTCGAAAGTTCGCCGTCTCGTTCTACCGTTCGGTTCTCGAGCCTCGAGAGAGTACGATATATATCCTTGGATGCTGGTTTATTTGCTCTGGCAGCTGTTCCCTAGCTGGTGCGCGCGTTCAAGGGTTCTGATACGAGGGTTCTGGAAAGGACCGCAAACATTTCAAAGGGTCTGGCGTCCATCTTGCGCTCTCTCTCTCTCTCTCGTAGCCGAAAAGCCGAAGGGTACTAATAGAAAGGCCCTTTCAACGAACTTGCGCGCGTGTATCCGTTCCGAGTCGACCTTTCGACTCTCCTCCTCTTCCACACCGAGGTTCGAAGCGTTCGTCGCGCAACTGCCCTTTCTCATTTTCGTGGCGTTGCTTGCCTCGAGACATCGTGATACGCCGAGAGACTTTGCTACCGCTGCGTTTCTCCCTTCCCCACGAGGCACCAGCAGAAACAGTAGCCCCCGTCGTGTCACGCAGCTTCTCTGTCGCGTATATACTCGGCTCGTAAATTTCACGGGCGCAGCTGAGCTGCGAATTGGCTGCGGTCGAGGGCGACAAATTTCCCGAAAAGACAAGCAGACATAGGGAGAGGGTCGTTGCACGATCGCGCCAACCGAGACGCAGAATGAATCTCCGGAAGCGGGCAAATGGCCAGTGTAAATCATGGCGGAGGGACGCACGATCGATGGAATTGATTCATGGCGACAAACGGCCGATTCACCGGCAGATTTTTCTCGTAACGATCGGTCATCGGTTTTAAACGGATCGGGAACGTAATTGGCTAATTAACGAGGATATTTGCGCTGGCAGCTGGATAATTAGGCAATTAAATGTGAATTTCATTTCTGCCTATGGTGGAAATAATAGTCATTTTCAAAAAAAAAAAAAGAAAAAGTTATTATGTACTATAAAGTATTTTTATACTGTAAGTATATTATTTTTATTACATTATATTTTCAAGAATATTATTTTTATATTATAAGAATATTTTTCTGCAGACCTAACAATCTCTCTCCCACCAGAAATACATTCAAAGAGCTTTCCGATCGAGAGCATAAAGGGAACATTCGGATGTTTAACAGGAAATGTTGGAGAAACCATTCGAAAGTGAACTTTGAACGAGATAAGTTTAATCAGCAAACTTTTCGTTACGCGGTGTTAAAAATTGACGAAACGACTCGGTTTGCGGTTGGATAGAACTTTCGTCTCGACTTGATATTTTACACAGACCGCGCATTTGGCCGGAGGATAGAATCTCGATCTCGAGGACCTGTTCGAGAGCTTCTACCTGAGAGCAGGTAGGTAAAATCGAGAGCGGTCAGAGGCCTTGACCCTGGACGAAGCCCGACGAGGTGAATCAACTTCTCGGAGTTGGTCTCCAGACTGCGTTTCATCGTGTAACGCTGCTACGTTAGAAACTGCTGAACTACACTAACGTTCAATATATGCATGTCTTTGAAAAATAAAAATAAAAAACTAGAATTATCTACATTTCAAATCTAACCTACGCTTTAACAATATTGTTTCACTTTTAATTATCAAATCATCACTATCTATTTCTCAGTTTCATGATAGTAAGTATAGATTTATATTAATATTCAATTTCTAAGAAATAAATAAGTTCATGTAGAAGATGACAGATATAATGGCAATTTCTGAGATGAATGTAGAAAACAAATGGTACATTCTCATGCACATTCGTATCTTTGTAAATATAGTTAAAGTAAATGGAACTTGAGCCGACAAATGTTATGACAAGTAACATTATTTTACACATTTTTGTACGTTTCGCATATTGAACATTATTTTTGAACCTTCAAATTCTCTGTAAGTGCACAAATCTCCCGGTAGTCTAATCATCACGATTTCTATATTTTCTAATTTATCAATATAACAAACACCTGCGTGATATTGCTGCTCACAAGTACGGAGCATCCAATTCTTTTTTCCTTTCTTTCCTTCTTCCAAGAAACATGAACACTTCAATTAAAGTTTCACTGCTCCGCAATATAATCATAATCGATATCACAAATCAAGTATTTCTATTTACTTTACTTTAAGAAAAAGTAAGCTGCCCTTCTAAAATACAAATGCGTCATCTTGTACAACTTCCTAGACGAATTATCATCAAATGCCTCAATGCATCGTCTCTCTCTCTCTCTCTCCGAAAAAGAAAGAAAGAAAGAAAGAAAAAGAAGAAATTACTTTCGAACCTCGCAGGACAAGGTCAAAGTGATCGCGGCGTGCGTGTGGGAAGAAAGCAGCTGTGGTCCTAACCTGAAATCTTTTGGCCCATGTTTAAGGCCCGATAGGGGGACCGATGATGCCGGTGCTGAAGGCACTGCTTTCCAAGGGGTAGCTTGTGCCTGAGGTGCCAGGCGACGCCAGTGATGGTGGCGGCGTCCGCCGTGGTGGTCGTGGTGACGTGGTCGTGATTACGATGATGATGGTGATGGTGATGATGGTAGCGGTGGTGGTAACGGCTGATGGTCGGTGGCGTAGCTGGTACCGCGCCACCGTCTATTCCTCCGCCGCGACCTCCGCCTCCTCCAACGCCGCCTCCGCCGCCGCCCCTACCGGGGCTACCGCCCCCGCCGCCCCCGCGGCCGCTGCCTCCGTTACCTAGACCGCCTCCGGTACCACCAGTCGCGCTGTTCCCGCGGCCACCGCCCCCGCTCACGCAACGATTCGCTTTGTACCTGCAACGCCAACACAGTGGAAAAACCTGGTTAGTTAATTGTCTTTTCTTCGCCGCAGCTCTACGGGACACACACACAACGTGGGGGAGGGGGGGGGGGGATCGATTTCTCGCAGGGAAAGTACTATCACGCGACTACCAACCCTCGTCGTTGCTTGTCTCGGTCTCGAGCTTGGAACAAAATGGAAAATAATATTAAAATTTGGGATAGTGTAAAAGAAGACGAGTGTATAAGACGTATTTCTGTATAATCTCTTGATTATTTAAACGAGATAATAAAGTAATCTGACGTGAGAGATTACGACGACATATTGTGGACTAAGAAAAGTGAATTTTATTCGAAATACGAAATAGTGTAGAGAAAGATTATTTTGATGTTGAAATAAGGGACATTTTAATAATTATTTCAAATAATATCTAGCTAAACGTGATAAATCTACATTTCTATTTAGATTAATTTTTTATTCAGAATTTTTATTTCCTTTTTTTTTTTCTCTTTAATGTTTGATAGTTCGTTTAAGAGAGTATGTTTGAGTAATGTATTGTGATTTCAAACTGAGCCTATGTAGGGTGAAAATAAATAATGTTTTGAGAATATCTTGCAGTTTTAATTTAACGATATACCCGCTCTCACACAGTATATTATATTGTATTAAATTGAGATAGTGATTCCTAGTCTACGATAAAATACTGTACAACATATATAATATACTGTACAATATATATAATATAGCCAGTCCCATTTTCGTTAATTTATCGAATCGAGACTCGACAGAGACATTTTTACCATAAAATGATTAAGAAAGAGACTTATATTATAGATTTGACGTAAGCATTTGATAAATCCACTATGCTTTCTACGTAGAATTTATCGTCAACTGTTCCGTAAAAGACGTGATGAAACATAATTTAATTAACTGAACTACAGACTTCGATTCAAATTCATACTTGCCTCGGTAAAACAAATTGTTACATTACACGCCAGCATTACTACACTCTAAATAATTTTCATAATTAAGTACATTCTGCGTAATTCAAAATTTTCTACAAGTTACACAAGTACAACCGGTAGCTCATTTGTCACGGTTTTCACGTGATTAAATATTCAAGTTCAAAGTTCAACAAGACGCAGACAATGGAAAATGAAGATCGTATCCGTACTGACAAGTCCTATCTCCAAAGTACCGAGAGATCCGCTACGGCGGTTAAACTCCACGCGAGTATTTATTACCACGGTGATCATGTCGAATAATATTCGTAGTAAATTCGTTTCGTATCGTGTTCACGGCCGTTCAGTTGTGTGTAGCCCGTCGCCTTGTTTGATACCGCGTATAAATTGCGCGGCGGAAACGAGACATCGTGCCGGAGCGCAGAAAACGGCCCCTGGTACAGCTTGTACCCTGTCTCGTACGTTTTCCGCGGCGTGCGTTCGATGGGAGGATAATACCGCGACGCAACACACCGATGTTCACCGATTGATTGCAGGCAGCTTCCAGCTTGCGGATTATCGTGTCGTCGCAGTCCGCCTGGTTTTTTTTTTTTTTTTTTTTTACGAACAATTTCAAGCTCGTTGAGACTCTTCGATCGATTGGAAAAAACTCCGAAGTTTCGAACTCTTAAACGACGGTGACGGGATCAAAATATTTATTATTGGATTACGGATGTTTTGAACTTTTTTAAAGTTCGGGGAAATTTAATACTTCAGAAATTTACGAAATGTGCAAATGCACAAAATATTCGAAGTACAAGTTTTATTGTGGTTAGGTTATGAATTTTTATGGGAATTCGTGTTTTTGAGAAGATGATTGAAAATATAGAATAAATCGTATCAGGTGTTACACAAGGCGTTTCTTCACATAGAATATTTTTTAATGTTCTTTCACATTATGGAATTTTGTACTTTAAAAATTGTAAAATTTATAAATGTATAAAAGTCCCAGTTGTGATATTCGGATTCCATTTCTTTAATTATATTCATAAAAATATAAAATTGCACAAACATTCGCGATCTATTTGTTAATAGGTAACAGATAATTTGAGAAAAAAAACAAAAGATACTAAAATAAATTCAAAATGCCTGCACTTATGGACAGGTTCTGAAAAGAAAGGATATTATATTATATTAGTGTAATTAACCCTCTGTGAACAGGAGGAGAAGAATTTATTCCAATTTAAAAACTAGAAATTAATAATTATTACAAACTTGTTGTTCAATGTTTTCGTAATGGTACATTAATGAAATTTAATACGAAATGAAACACGAGATAAAATAAAATTTTCATGAACCATGAATGTGTGAATATGTAACATTCAACTTACTCGATGCTCTTATTAAACACTCTGACGGTCAATTCGGTAAATGTAAACATATTGCCTGGTCATTGCACAACGGAAGCTAAAATATTCGATAAAAAAAAAAAAAATTTGCGCCACCATGCACGCAAGTATAAAACTGTCCACTGTCTGAAAGTCAATCAATTTTTCCCTCTCCAAAACAAATAAAATCCTAAAGAATGCGATCGAAAACTCAAGATCGTTTCTAAAATTAAATCGCGACGCCGTTTTCACGATGGAAAGCAGTTTCCCGTCGGTTTGTCGAATTAACTAGCAACCACGGTTACGTTAATCGAGAAACAACGATAAAAGTGACCTCCTTCGATGTTAAACTTTGTGGACTGCGGAAGGCCGTGGCTTGACCGAGGAATTTACACGTTTTATCGCGGCGAGGCAGCCGGGAAGGCGGCGATTTCGAGGAATCAGGGTGCAGAAACCGAGTCTCGTCAGGCACGATCTTCCATTAATCCCGCGTAATTCCAATCGTTCCGGAAATCCACTTAAATCGGCCGGAGGAACGTGCCCGACCTGTCGGCGGATTAACGTTCGTTTCAATTAAAGGTTAACACCGCCGAGCGAACGAACGCGATCAACGCCGAACGGTGAGATCAACGGAGAAAGTAGCGGCGATGCGTAAGCTCACTTCGAATCGATCTCGATTCGTCGGCATCGCGCGTCCTCGAGTTTGAGTCTGCCAGTCCGGACGACGCGTTTCTTCGAAACGCCTGGACGATCGTCGCTGTACCTTTTCTCGCGGCTCGTCACCAGTTGCATGCTCGCGAAACGCATGACAGAAACAAGCGACGAGAGCGAACCACGATTCGGGAAATGATGGGAGAAACAAAACACGGCTAACGGCCACGAGGTGGTCGCTCCAATTCCTTCTGCTCTGTTCGTTCGTCTAGATCTCGCGTGACGTAAAAGGCGCGCGCGAAACGACACGTGACTCGATCGCATCCGTGAACACTTCCGGCCGGACACTGGCATCCTGAATCCGGGTCTGATTCGCTTCTCGAGGTTATCGCAAGAGAAGACCGATAGAAGAAATCTACGAGGAAATTCCGTTGAAAGATGAAAGAGGAAATTCGAATCTAAGACGAGAAAAAAAGAATAAAATTCGAAGCTCTGTTTTCGTGCACTCGTCTCGCTTAACACAGTCTTTTATTTTTAATATTCAGTTTAATATGTATCGTAGACGACACGCACATTTTCAAATTGTATTGCGTATTTTGTAATACGTACTGAATGGTTAATCTGTTAACACGTAAGAAGTTCTTTGTTGTGTAAAAGGATTTATTTTTCCAATTTTTAAACAAACACAGTGTATTTGTCCTAAGAGCTTCAAGCGAGACGTGTGTTTCAGTTTGACTAATTCTTGGCTGGACAAGAATGGACAAAAAGACTCGATAGAAGATCATTCTAGCAGTGAAAATAATTTCAAAAAACGCAGACTAAAGTTTGCTTTTATAAGAATTTCGTTTTCTAGAAAATTTATCAGATTTATACTACCAAACTAGGTCCTAATTAAACACGTTCGAAGTCCATTTTCTTGAAAAACATGGCCATAGAGGAAAATTCTTTTTCCATATTTTTAATTTATTTTTGTACGTAGAATAATCTTCTCCCAATTATTCATTTATCAAATTTATAATTAAAATTAATTATATATTAAAAATTATAAATGTATCAAATTTGAAATTATTTCGACAATTAAATAATATAATTCATAATTGTAAACAAAGTTTATATTTACTGCAACCATTTGGAGCTATAATTATTATTGAATTTACCTGCTTATTATTATTAAGATTATTCTTGAAAGATTAACACATATTTGATAAATTTTGGAATTCCATTTTCTACAAAATGAACCTTTTGAATGAAAATATGTTATTTTTTCATATAGAATCATCCGCTGACTGACATGACATTCTGTGTGTCAATGTGAAGAATGAATTTATTTTAGTAATAGTTTAATAGTGATAATCTGTTCTAACATAGTAAAGAGTATGGAACGGAAGTTTCCGATGATTTTGCCACAAATTCTACTAAAATGGTACTTATCCGTCTGTACCACTGGAGCAGCTTTCTGCCTCTTGACATCAGAGCGATTCGTTAGAAGTTCCAGAACGAGTTTCCGCGTGGAGAAATTAGATTTTCGACCTGCTACCACCGCGAAAATTCTCTTTCTCTGTCGGTGCATTCTCGGAGAAGCTCGAGGACCCTTGAGAAATCGTGTCATTGTCAAAGAAAGAGAAAAATCTGTGCCGTCGTTGGAAATACTTCCAATGCTTCTCACAATTAATTCCTCGAAATTGTAATTCTTCTAGATTACCAAAAAANAAAAAAAAAAAGAAAAAAAAAAATCTCTACAAAGCAAAATCTTTACGTTAGACTAATTGAAACTCATGTTCAAAAACACCGATGCTTCCTGAAAACCAACCATCGTCACTCTTCTTGAAATTATAATCCTTTAGCGTATGATAATAATGATACTTCATTTCAAATCTCTTAAATGAAACGTTGCTCTGCAACGTCGTACAACAGCAGAAAATTCAAATTAATTGAAATTACTGCGTGTCCACCCTGGCGTGAGACTTAGAGAATGCAGTCTCAACAAGATAAAAAAAAAAAAAGGAAAAGAAAAGAAAAGAAAAAAACATTCTG